TATATATATATATACTAAATATAATATTTAAGACTGGAGAGATGGTTCAGCGGTTATGAGCACTGACTGCTCTGCCAGAGGTCCTGAGTTCAATTCCCAGCAGCCACATAGTGGTTCACAACCATCTGTAATGGGATCCGATGTACTCTTCTAGTGTGTGTCTGAAGACAACTGCAGTGTGTACTCATATAAATAAAAAAAATCAATAAATTTTTGAAAAAATAAATAAATAAATTTTAAAGTAATTTAACAATGCATTGTAGATGTATGTTAATAATCGTATTTATCTTGCTGAAATATAAACCTTTTTTATATTTTTAAGATGTCTTGGTCCTGTCTCTTGTATAAGAACTTCAACTTTTCGAGTTTATGTTTATGCTCTATTTAGAATAACAGAAGTGAAAGCTAAAATGTTCTTTTAAAAGAGGAGACTCCAGTCAGGCAGTGATGGTGCATGCCTTTAATCCCAGCACTTGGGAGGCAGAGGCAGGCAGATTTCTGAGTTCGAGGCCAGCCTGGTCTACAGAGTGAGCTCCAGGACAGCCAGGTCTACACAGAGAAACCCTGTCTCAAAAAACAAAAAAACAAAAACAAAAAAGAAAGAAAGAAAGAGAGAGAGAGAGAGGGGAAGGAAGGAAGGAAGGAAGGAAGGAAGGAAGGAAGGAAGGAAGGAAGAAAAGAGGAGGCTCCATCTATTCAGGGCTGGACTTTTATTCATCCTGAAGCAGATAGAGGTATTTAAGAGAGGCATAACTTTACTTAGAAAAGTCTTTGGTATGGAAAACAGGTTATCAGCATAATTCAAGATACTGACATTATCACACAGGACATGTAAAGTCTGTACCTGGCTAAGCAGAGGCTTTAAAGGAGGCATATCAAGATGCCATCAAGAGTTATCTCCACTGTTAAAACTCTTCTACATTTGCTTGTCTGGTTTTCTGGTTTCCTAAGGTAGCCCAACATTGAAGATGATTATAGGCTCCCATGCTTTGCAAAAATAAATAAATAAATAATTGAGAAAAGAGTCACCATGCTACCAACACATCATTCGCTGGGTGCAGAGCTTAAGGAGTCAAGCCAGATAGGGGCCAGCAGGTGCAGAGGCCTCGAAGCAGGTCCTCACTCTGACAGAGGTGGGTCTGGCCGCATGTGCAGGGGTGTGGTCAGAGTTTTCCCATAACTAAGAGAAGAGACATGAGCTCTCTACCTGTTGCTGCCTTTTCAACTATGAAAAGTATAGCCTTGTGAGAGAGCCCCACCCGTGCAATCAGACTGACACGGGAGGACACTGCTCAATGGCTCTCTGGGTGTGTGACCTGTACAAGTCAATTAGCCTCCCTGCTCCTGATTGCTCAACTATAGAGTAGGAGTGAGCACCTACCTGCTAGTGTGACTAGAAGGATTAAGAGAGGTGATTCACTGCAAGGACCTCGCACACGAGAGGAGCGAAATCAGTGTAAACCACCATTATGCACAGGCCAGGAAATGCCAGTTGCCAAGTACACTCCCAAAACTGTACCATGGGTTGATATGTCTAACCAGAACAGAATCTCCAACTTAAATTTTCCTTTTTCTCCTTCACTCCTGCAGCATACACTATTGGCTTGCAATCCAGCACATAGAACGAAACTGAAAATACAGGACAGCCTGATTGTAAAAAAAAAAAAAAAAGTCCAAAAGCCCCACACTGTGGCCAGAAACCCTGCTTTCAGAGCTTTGGGATTTCGATTCTCTGGTCACTGCCACAGCTGCCAGACAGTGTCTTTGGCAAGGAGGTGGGTGACTGGAGTGTCAGCTAGGACTTGGCGCAGAGATACTAAACCATAAGGCCTCCCAGCGGGAAGCTCCAAAAGGGCCTACTGCCAAAGCTGTTTGTCTACCAGACTCTTCGAGAGAAATGGAGCAGTTCTGCTGTCGTTAGCAAACTCACGTCAGAAAAGTAGACCATTCAAACGGTAGACAAGGCCCCTACAAACCTGGCTCTGTAACTTTAAAAAGGTAAGATCCAGACTAATACGGCAGTAACGAATAATCTCTACAGTACTTTGCCTCTATTCGTAAGAAATGCACCCTGGAAACTCAACATTAAAGTCCAATGGCAAAAAGCTGCATGTCTATGTATTGTAAGCTAAATACATTGCATTTGCATGTGATGAAACCTTCTTCAGCCTTATGATTATCTCACTTCTCCCAAGATGTCAACAAATGTCTTAATGTCCACCTATGAGGAAGTGGTTATCTTACTGTGTTAATTACACAGGTAAATAACAAAGTTGCAGAAGGTAACCAACCAATCCCTCCAGTTGCTAGGAATTGTCCCAGCTTTACCACTGCATGCCAGGAAACCCCTCAGTCCTGGGCAAACAAAAATGGTCCCCAAAATGCTTCCAGAAAGTTTCTCTAACAGGAGAGACAGACAAATGCAGAAGTGCTGGGCGTCAGGCGTGGTGGGAGCACAAGCTCGCAGTTCCTTTTCACAGAAGAAGACTAAAAAAACCACAGCAGCCTCTCCCTCCCCCTCACTTTCTAACTCTCCCAAAACAAGTTAGAAAACATCATAACCCTTCTCTTGCTGAACTCAGTGGTCACTGCAGAACTGGCTGTCTAAGTGATGACCACAGCCACCCAGCCAGTTCCAGCCTTCAGTGTCAGTAGGACAGAAAGTCACTGACGGTAACCTCTCACTTCGACTACATCCAAGTTCTCAGCAGCCAGAATGTGTCCTCAAACGAAAATCAAAGAGCTATAGCCAAAAGTGGAGATTCGCCTTACAAACGACATTGAACAGACCAGAAAAGTGAGGCTGGGATGGTTACAGCATCCTGGGGAGAGAGCAAGCTGCTCCACCTCAAACTGAAGCAGGGATTCCATGCAGGTGGCTCCCAACCCACAGGGATGGGCAGAGCTCTTCTAGGAGGAGTTTAATCCACAGGTTGTTAGCATGGGTAGCTGAGGTTAAGAGCCAACTTCTAAGAAGTAAGATTCAAACAAAAAAGACTATATAAGGCAAGAAGAACACACTTCCTGGACCTAAAGAAACACAGAAACCATCTTTGCTCACCACTGCACCCCACGCCACCAACCACACCCCATCTTCCTCTGGCTTTGTCCCAAAATAGACTGGAGGTTTTTAGGTGTTCCTGGGTCACAGAACTCCTTGGCTCTTTCTATATGTCAAGAGATGGAGTCAAATGAAGTTTTACCTCTTTCTCTCAGGTGGCAAGTGGAGTTTACTGGGGGAACAAAGAGGGTGTATTTAGAAAGATTTCCGAAGACAAACATCTTTGAAAGCCTTGCTCTGAGAAGCCAGGGAATAACTTCCTGTGTGGTGGAACCCAGTGATACACTCTTTACCAGGGCTAATGGACACTAGGAGAACGCTCCTTCTCATACCCTACTTCATCACATCTGCTGAGAGGAAGGAGAGAGATAGCTCAGAGGCTTGATAGCAGCCTGGGAGGTGGGCACCAGCAGCCAACAGCTGAGGATCTTGAGGAAGACTTTTTGCTTTTCCCAGTCAGCTGTTTTTACTTAGAAAATAAGGAATTCAGGATAAATGATTAGCATCTTTCTACATAAAATTCTACATGGAATTCTTTTATATGTATAACAAAACTATGCCTACTGGAACACCACGTTGTACTCTGCAGACTGAGGAATTAACAAAGTAGGGGAATGTGTGCCATCAATGTTGACAGGACTCTGGACGCAATACAACATAAGACTTAAAATAAGAGATGTCTAACAGTTGGCAAAAATTGGGAACAAAGGGTAGAGAAAATCCTAATATCAGTTTACAAGCACTTTAAATGTTCAGTAGCCAACGAGGAGGGGCAGGCTCACACAATTAACAGCTGCTCTCCCTGCTAAATTTAACAGAGTTTTTAACTCAGTGACTTCTGGACCAAGGCGGGCAGGGGAAAAAAGGAAGGGGGGACACGAAGCAAACTGAGGTAAATTTAATCTAAAAGGGCAAAACAAACCATTGTGGCTCCCTACCACAAAGATTGCATTTACGTTGCAGAACATTCTGGCTGAATTCTCTGAATTCTAACTAGCAAGACACCAGATGCATCCTATTTAAGAAGTTTGAGGTGTTTAATAGAGGGGGCTGGCCTGTTTGACACCATGTATCAAAGTCAAGATTGCCTCTCTGCTTATCAGGCCCCCAAAACAATGTTCATCTCAGTGTGGGTGAATAAACCGGGACGTTTCCCCCTTTTTCATGTAAAGAACTGTGAAGAGGTTTTGTTTTGTTTTGCTTTTCACATAATTTAGATGGACTTCCGTGAGTGTCAATATCCAGACGTGTAGCAAAGGCTGTCAATCGGATTCAATAAATAATCCCATTGCTTCAAACAGAACTTCAGAGCTGCCGGGTGTGATGTCTCGGCCAGAAAAGCAACAAAGCTGATGGGCACTAGCGCCTGCGAGCTCAGCCCGGGACCTGACTCCCATCTCCTATTCGGAGACCTGGGCCGAGAGCTCGCGTCTCTCAGCACCCCTAACCCCACACTCCACACCCAGCCCCTGGGCAACTAAAGAGGAAGTCGGGGTGTCCTATCCAACCGATGAAGACAGCCTATTGCACCGGAGCGGGGATCCGGGCCAGCCTTTTGCCTGGCGTGGGTGAGGTCTGGGGCAGCGGGGCTGCGATCCTCTCTCCCGCCGTCCACCTTCCTCCTCCTGACCCCGCGGACAGCCTTCCCCCCTCACCGGCACCCCCAGGCTGACTGCTCCTGAGTGCACGATCCAGCCCGAGACTCCCCTCTCCCGGTGCGGCTGCGACCCGGGTTCCCCGCGCCCGGCGGCCACTCCCGCAACCCGCCGACCCTCTCTGGCCGCGAACGCGCACTTGCGACGGCCCAGGGCGGAGACTGCGCGGGAGCCGAGCCCCGCGGCAGGCCGTGCACGCTCCAAGGCTGCGCGTAAACAGCCCGGGGCGCGCTCGGCTCGCTCGGTGCCCGCCGCGCCCCCTTCTCCGCGCCCCGCGCCCCTACCTGGTCGCAGAGTTTGAGCACTGCCATTCTTCCGTTCCCGCGCGCGCGCACATACAGCAATCCGCTCTGCAGATGTCAACGCCGGGAGCCCGGGGAAACGGAAGGAACGGCCCGGGAAAGCGCCAGGAGCCGGGCTCGCTAAGGTGACAGCCCCGCCACCGCTCGGCTGCCGCCGCCTGCCTCCCAGAGCCCAGCCCCGGCTCGCGGGAGTCGCAGCCCGGCCCGCCCGCCTTTATACAGGAAGTGCCGGCCGCTGCCAGCCCGGCCGCCACTGACATCACCGCGCGCTGCCTCGCGCCGCCCGGGCCGACGCTGCCTCCTGCCGCCCGCGGCGGCTCCTCGCAGCCCGCGGCTCCGGTGCCCTCCCACACCTGCACTCCGCTCCTCCAGGAGCCAGCCGAAAGGGGAGGGGGGCTGACGCCGACCCTCCCCAGCGATCCCACCCACGCGCACGCCACCGAAGGGCAATCCTTCGCAGACACACCCCAGGGTCCAGAAAGCTTGCCACTCACAGGCCACCAACTTTCACCCTGCAGACTGCGTCACACCCCCTTTCCCTAAACCTCTTCCCCACTCAGATTGCTCCAGCTCTCCAAATTTCTGCCACCTGGGCGCAGCAGTCTCTTTGTTTAATATAAGGAGGCCATGGACGTGTTGTGAGTCCAGGGTTTCTCTAACATATAACGGTGGGAAGAACGGGAGCTATGACCCTCCAGTCACCTCCTAGTTACACCACACACTACCCTAACTTGGTAGCCTAGGCTTGGGGCTGGAGGTGGAACTGAGAAGGAAAAAAAAAAGTCCTAAATTACTGCATTAAGTCCTAGCTCATTTATTCCTACAAGAGTGTAAGTTGCATGCTGCCAACTCCCACCCTACACACACAGCAGACAGCTGTCCAATAGATTAGGCTTCTAATACAGTGGTAGCAGTCCATAGTACGTGTTGATATTTCTGCGATCTGGAATAGCACTTAAAATTCAGGCAGTGGCTGGGCATGGAGAGAAATGGGGCATAAGCAGGTAAGATACTCTGGCTGGCTAGTTTTTACCTCTACTTAACACAGGCTACAGTCATTTTAAAAATGCTCCAACCATATTGACCTGTGGGCAAGCCGGTGGGGCATTTTCTTAATTAATGATTAATGTGGGCAGGCTCAGCTCTCTGTGAGTTGTGGGGGTGGGGGTAATCTTGGGTGTATCATAAAGCAGACTGAGCAAGCCATGAGCACCAAGCCAGCAAGTAGCACTTCTTCCTGGCTTGTGCTTCAATTCCTGCTTCCAGGTTCCTGCCCTGAGTTCCTGCCCTGGGTTCCTTCAATGATGAACCGTGACGTGGAAATGGAAGCAGAAACAAACTTTCTTCCTCAAGTTGTTTTTGCTCACTATTTTTTTTTATCACAATAGAACCCCTAAGTAAGACAGGTACCTACTCTCAAAGGGCACTCATATAAACCAAATAGCCATTGCTGATTAACATAATCCCAAACTGAAATAAAGGATCAAACAAAGAGATCCCAAAGAGATCAAACGCCTGCCTCTACGGTTCACTCACAAACCAGTTGTAGATTCTTCTTCCCCATTGTCAGTGCCTCAACAAAGATCTCACAGGAGAAGGGGGCTACAGCAATCATGTAGCATCCTTGCCTGTATCCTCCGCCCACTCTGGCTGGTGAAGCACCTAAATCCCCAAACTACTCCTACCTACCCTAGACACTGTGATTCTACTTATGCAGAAAAGGGGGCCCGAGGAAGCACTGTCCGGGGTCTCTGTGGCCACCAATGAGAAGTAGACACACACACTCCAAAGTCACTGCTCCTAAGACCGTTCTCGGCTGTTTGCTGTTTGTATGAAGCACCTCTTCATGCAGCTGTGCATCAGCTGACTAATATCTTGCATAGATTTGTAAGTAAATGGGACAGGGAATTCCCTATTTAAATATAACCGTATTTCTAAAGAGAGATAACAAATTCTGTACATTGACAGATTCACTCAAGATCTGCTTTAGGTCATCATGGCTATGCATATGCATGAGTTCTTGAGTCAGAGTCAGTCTGCCTATCAACCTACCCCCTCTCTTTCTGAGATAGTCTCTTGCTATAATGCTGGCAATCTGGCCTTGAACTCTCTGCCCTCCTATTTCTACATCCCAAGTGTGAGGTCCCACAGCAGGCTGTCATTGGAAGGGAGGTGACCATAACCCTAAAGAGACATTTTTTCTCTTCTAGAAAGAGTAAATAGTGCTTTAACATTGCCTTCACTTTCCTGAATTGAAATTCAAGCATAACATTATCTACTTACACAATTTATTTTAAAATTCAATATCCTGCCCTAATTAGGTAAGAAGTGAAAAAGAAATGGAACGGTGTAATTGCTGAATATTTCAACAACTAAATGATACATATGCCCCAACCCTACTAAGAGACAAAGCAGTAACATCGTGGATACATTGTAGCTGAGAGCACAATGTGTGGTACAATCCAAATGTGTAGTATCAGCAACTCAAATGTCAAGATCAGAGAGCCCACAATCTCAGGACTGTAGACCAGGTCAGGAGTTCAAGGTCATCCTCAGCTGCATCAAGTATAAAGCCAGCCTGACCCTGTTTCAAACCAAAAACACCAAAAACAGCCATGAGATGACTCTCTAGGTAGACACATTTGCCCTGCAAGCCTGAAAACTACCAGTTTGATTCCCTGAACCCACGTAACAAGCCAGATGTGATGCAAAGTTCCAAGAATGTCTGTGGCAAGCAGGGTGAAGACAGGAGACTAGGCCAGCTAGCCCAGAACACACAGCACAGAACCACAGATCCTACCTCAGAAAAAAGGTAGGGGGGAAGAATCAATTGCCCAAAGCTGCCTTTCAATTTCTTCACATGTACCTTAGCGTGCACCTGTGTACAAGCATACCTATGGTGTGGCCATAGGTGAGATGTTGTGAAATTTGAACAGACCAAGTACCTAATAAAAAAAAAATAGGCTAAAATAATTAACTTCAGTGCCTTACTTTTTCCAGAGAGTCAGAACTTACATGTTAATGCATCTTTCTACATATAACTTTACATCATGATTCTGTAAAACAGGGGGTGGGGGTGGGGAGGGGAACATGGAAGCAGATGTTCACGTGTCTCCGCCAGTCAAAGGTAGTTGGTATATCTAGGTTGGGTATTGGGTTACACTTCTGATTGTATGGGCATCTTATTAGCAGAAAAACTCTGTAATGTCTGGGTACAGGGCCGTAGGCTTCCACTGAGCTAGCTCCCTGATTCCTGCTGTACTGAGAAGCTGGGGTGGCAATACCCAAATGACAATGGCACAAACACATGAACACATGACCATAGGCAACAGAGACAAAGCAGCACTTAAAGTTTAATATTTGGCAGGATATCAAACCTAAAAATTAAGATATGTGGGAAAACCTTGCAATGTCCCTGAATTTTGTAGCAGGCAAACTCATGGGCCTGCCACCTGAAACCTGGCTGTGGCATCACAATGAAGTCCTCCATCTCACCCAAGCTCATATGAGCCAGGTCACAGGTCACAGACAAAGAATCCCTTGAAAGAAGAAGTTAGTCCCCTTCAAGGGCACTCTAAAACACTCCTATAAATATATGCTAAAATTCTCCTCAGAGTAACCTACTGTTATTTCCAAGGTGACCGAGCACTGGGACAAAGGAGAAGCCCAAACATTTCAAGAATTATTAGAGACTTTCTAAACTCTTGCTGGTTTGTAAGATTCCAAGTACCCTCCTGGTCCATCAATCAAATTGAGGCTTATGGAAATGCTAATCCATGAGTTTATACACAGGTATAAATCACAGCAGATCTATAATATGTCATATGTAACTGAGACTGGATACTCAGTAGGTAGCAGAATCCCAGGGTTTCTTCAGTGAAGGCTATCATGGTAGTCTGTGATAAGTTATTTCTCTGCCAGTGAAATGAGCCAATTCAAGCCAGATTAGAGTATAGATAAAGCCAGGTTTATTGGGAAACCAGTCTTGAGTGAGTTCAGTGGTCCCAATGAATGAGGCTGGGGAAGTCTCCATGGGGAGAGAGACTGAAGTGGAGGGAGAAGAAGAGAAAGTACACTTGCAGAGAGAGAAGGGAAGAGACACCAAAATGTCTGGATTATATAGATAAAAGCATCTGAGAGAAGGGAAGCCCAGCCTCTGGGCTGGAAAGTCCAGGGTAAAGGGCAGGGTATACCTGGTAGGCACTGAGGGATGCTGGGAGAACCTGAAGGCCAGGACCACTTGGTATGTTAAATATGCACCTCAGCTGTTTGTCCTGTGTCCGAATCCCAACAGGACAGACTGACCAGAAGCCCTTTGCAACTATTAATAGACTAGAAGAATGGGGTAGCACTGAGTCGTATGGAATGTAGACATCAGCACCACCATAGAACATATAGGAGAGGTATGGAGGATGGGGTGCGTGGAGGAGGGGTGCAGCAGTGGAACAGAACTTCCCCGTTAACTAACCCGTCTGGCCTGTGCAGCTGGCAGAAGGGCTTGTGAGTTTAACTACAAATTATTAAATTGTTAACTCAAGTAAGAGTTGTGCCAGAGGAGACGGGGGGGGGGGGGGGGGCGGGGGGGACATGAAGGCAGATGTTCACGTGTCTCCACCAGTCAAAGACAGTTGGTATATCTAGGTTGGGTATTGGGTTACACTTCTGATTGTATGGGCATCTTGTTATTGAGCATTACCAAACTTTTAAAGCCTTTGATTAACATTTTAAAAATAAACATAAAAAAAATATATCATGTAGTCATGACCAATCATTTTGTAGGGGACACGAGAGATGGAGTAGCAGTCAAGTGTCTCTACCACCCGTGCAGAGGACTGGAGTTTAATTCTCTTGCGACTCCATGCCTCTGGACTCCATGCCCACATTCAGAAACACACATGCATAATTATAAAATCAAATAAATCTTTGAAGATTCATTTTGTAGATATGTATTTATTGAACTAGCTGACAATGAACTATCTTTTGTATATATATACATATATATATATATATATATATTTACATAAATGTGCCAGAACGTGCATGTCTTTAGACAAAGGCATTCAGATGGCTTTAATAAATTATCAAAACAGTGCTTCTTTCTGGAATTAGAGATGGCTTTTCCATTTGCTCTGTATTTTCAAATTTTGTTTGTAATTT